ATCATTGCTGATGTCAGATGGATCTTGGCTCAAAACAAAGAATACCAGAAAGATGTTTACTTGTGTTTTATTGACTATGCAAAAGCATTTGATTGTGTGGACCATAACAAATCGTGGATAACATTGAGAAGAATGGGAATTCCAAAACACTTAATTGTACTCATAAGGAACCTGTACATAGACCAGGAGGTTGTTGTTTGAACAGAACAAAGGGAGACTGCATGCTTTAAAATTAAGAAGGGGGTGTGTCAGGACTGTATCCTTTCACCATACTTATTCAATCTGTACAGTGAGCAAATGATCCAAGAAGTTGGACTATATGAAGAAGAATGTGGCATCAGGATTGGAGGAAGACAAATTAACAACCTGCAATATGCTGACAACACAAATTTGCTTGCCTAAAGTGCTTAAATCACTTCCTGATGAAGATTCAAGAAGACAGTCTGCAGTGTGGATTACATCTCAATATAAAGAAAACAAAAATCCTCACAACTGGACCTGCAAACAGTATCACAATAAATGGAGAGAAGACTGAAGTTGTCAAAGACTTCACATTGCTTGGTTGTACAAGTGATGCCAAAGGAAGCAGCAGTCAGGACATCAGACAACACATAGCACTGGGCAAGTCGGCTGCAAAGGACCTCTTTCAAGTGCTGAAGAGCAAAGATGTCTCCTTGAGGACTAAGGTGCACCTGACACAGCCATGATATTTTCAATAGCCTCATATGCAAGTGAGAGCTGGGCAATGAATAAAGAAGACTGAAGAAGAATTGATGCTTTTGAGATGTGGTGCTGGCAAAGAATGCCGAAAGTACGATGGACTGCTAAAAGAACTAACAAACCTGTTCTGAAAGAAGCACAGCTGGAATGCTCCTTGGAAATGAGAATGACCAGATTTCGTGTCACCTACTTTGGTCATGTTATCAGAAGGGACCATTTCCTAGAGAAGGATATCATGCTCAGTAAGGTGGAGGGTCGACCAAAGAGGGGCAGGCCCTCAATGAGATGGATTGACACAGTGGCTGCTGCCACTTGGGTTCAAGTACAGCAAGGATCGTGGAGCTGGCTCAGGATTGGGTGGTGTTTCATTCTGCTGTGCATAGGGTCGCTATGAGTCAAAGACAACTCAACAGCACCTAACAACAACAACATCATCTCACTTTCAAATTTTGGGAAATTGTAGTTTAATGGACGAAGCACTAGATTTAGAGTCAGATACACAAGTTGCAATCCTTACTCTGAGGCTCACCTGTGAAATGACCCAGGCAAGTCAATCATTTTCAATTTTTTTTTCTTTTGTCCATAATATGTTACAGAGCATGTGGAAAACATACCACTTCAACTCTCTTAATGATTCTATTAGGTTGGCTTCTGACACCATAGGCAAAGCTCATTTCCTGTATTATACCATAAAATGACAGTGTTCAGGTATATCATTTCTCATGCCTGTTCTAGCTGTAACAGCTATGATTTGAATCCAAACACAAATCATTTGTTTAATGCATATCCTCCTGTGGTGGTTATTTTTTTGTGTCAGCTTGGCTGGGCCTGTTTGAGTGGCTGGGCAGCTGGTGGTAGTTATTCCCCATGATGAGACTGGCAATCAACTTCATGGTGGGATCTACCATAAGCAGCTGAGTATCTGCCTTTGGGATGTAGTCTGCTTCTTGTATATAAGGAGAAGCCTTGAAAATGGTCTCTAGCCTCTGGCACACTTGGACCTTGCATGTAGCCGTGTCGTTGCTCAGCAGCCTGCTATGCTCTGCCTACTTTGGGACTTACGGTGGACTTAAGTTAATGGCCTGCTGTGTGGTTTGGTAACATCGGGACTGTGCCTTTTTACTTGTCAACCTTGGGCTTCTCAGCTTCAGCAGCCAGCAGCTGTCTGAGTGAAGAAAGCCTATAGCTCCAATGGGCTGGGAGCAGGAGGCAGAGCTGGACCCCAAGGTTGAGGGGCTTTCACCTAGCCCCTAGAGCCTGGCACTTTGAACTTGGACTTAAAGCCTCCAAATTTTAAGAGTAAACTCCTGTTTGTTTAAGCCATCCCATTTGTGGCATATTCCTGTCAGAGTGGTACTAGGTAACCAGAACATCTCCCAGTGAAGAATCATATTCCCTAACATTAATTTGTTCAGTAATTAAAACAACCATGGTTTCAAAAGAGGTTGACAATCAGAATCTGTAATTCTGTAGTTAGCCCAGTAGGTGGTACCAACCACATCCAGGCTTCAAGTCCACAAACTGTGGTAATTTAGGAAACATGAAACGCTGTGGGAGATATTGGTCTTCTATTGCCCTTAGGACAAAATGTGCTACATTTATATATCAAAAAGCAAAAAAAGAAATATTGATGTTTTTTGCCATGCTCTGTGGCACTGACATGTACCACTGGCAGCCTTAATCAGACCATATTAAACATAGTGCACTGCACAATCCTTAGGTAAGGATTCCTCTGCTAACTGAACTAGTGCCTCCATTAGGAAAAGCCTCTGCCACTTCTTCCACAATCACTGCCTATCATTGTTTCTTTCTACTACAGATAAATCAGATGTTTGAGACACTGAATTAAAAACTGGTCTGGGCAATTGCACAAATTCATGGTGTTTTGTTTTTTCAGTTTAAGTACTTAATAAAAAAGAATTGAATTTCACAAACCTGTTGTAAAAGAAAGGGTGGAATGTAATTTTGGACAAAAACCTTCCTGAAAAGTAAAGTACAGGACATACTGTTCTACGCATTTCCATGGAGCGGGAGGATTTACCCGACTACTCTTGGCCAAGAATCCCTCCTCCCACTATTCTCTGTGCTGGTTGGCTGCACTGCAGTGGTGTTATATATCTGGGGCTTGGTTGGCAAAATATAATGTTATGTTAATAATTACTGACTTTGTTGTACTTCAGACAATCCCAACTTGTAAACTCCCTTGAGACCCAGGTTGTAGCTTTACCAATGTCATGTTTAGCATGCTTTGTCAGCTGGCCTTAGAGAATAGAAAAACACTGTTGTATTGTTTACACCAAGGAGCTCTGGTGGCATAGTGCCTAAGGCGTTTGACTATTAACCAGAAGGCTGGTGGTTCAAACCCACCAGTGACTCGATGGCAGTGAGTTTGGCTTGTTTTTTATTGTTTACACCTAGGGCGAAGTCTTTCCTTTTGGTCATACAGAGACAGGTCACATTTGAAGTGATTTATTTCCCCACCAGTGTAAAATTGTAATTTTACACTGGTGTATGACAATCCCTTGCTAGCTTCTGTAGAGTCAAGAGGGCAGTGTGTGGCCTTTCACGGTCACCTATCTTAGAGAGCACAGGCATGAAGAATTTTTTAAATTCAGCTAAATTTCCCATCGTACCTGCTGGTATTTAAAAAAAGAGGTTTATCTTCAGTGATAATATAGCTGGTGATAAGATACTCGATTCTGACAGCCTGGCTTTTCTGCCCTCCAACCCCCAACTCTTAGCATTTCCTTGATTTGTTTAGAGATGAAACTGAAGGTTGGCTATGAATATTATGCCATGCTTCTAAATTCAGACGAAAGCCCAGTGAGGAGGGAAATGAATACTCCTGAGGCCTTATTTACTCTGTAACTACCTCTGTTCTGAAAGCAAGTCATTCTTCCTGCTTTAACCTTTACCACCTGCCTCACTTTAGTGTTACTTTTCCCGATGGCTCAAATACACTTCAGCAGGAGCCGCTGAAAGGAAACGAGTAGTGTAAGCTAAAAAGCTGAAAGACAGGCAGAAACCCATAGCTAGCCCAAGTCTGGGTCCTAGGTAAGCAATATTACTCTCTAGTAGAGGCTTTTTTAGGAGCTCTGGTAGCATAGTGCCTGAGGCACTTGACTGCTAACCAGTGAAGCTGGCGGTTCAAACCCACCAGCCACTCCTCGGAAGGAAGAAGGGGCAATCTACTTCCATAGAGATACTGCCTCGGAAACCCAAGGAGGGGTCTCTGAGTCCAGTCCGAATCAACGGCACATAACAGAGGCTTTTTAAGCTTTGAGGCAACTTGAACCTTCTGTCAAAGGTAGGTTTATGGTATTAGTAGGTTATGAAGTTAATTCCTAAACTAAGTTATTTTTTTTCATTTCCTATAAAAACCCCAGGAACTCTGGTAACGTAGTGCCTAAGGCATTTGACTGCTGGCAGTTCAAACCCACCAGCTGCTCCTCAGAAGGAAGGTTGGGCAATCTACTTTCTTAGTGATACTGCCTTGGAAACCCAAGGAAGGGTTGCTATGAATCAGGAGTCGGGTCCGACTAGACGGCACATAACAACAACAACCATTCTCTCTGCCTTCTCGTTCTCTCCCCACAACCCCTTATCTTTGGTTTGCTCCCCCCATTCACAATTGTCCATTTTTTTTTGTGGAACATAAGTCTGGGTTATCGGAGGATGTATATGATTTATCATCCAATTTATTTATTTAAAAGTTGTATTAAAAGAATATTTTAATATAGAAACCAAAGATTATTAGTGGTTACCAGGGGTAGGAGGGAGGGGGAAAGGGGAGGCTTTTGTTTGCTGGGTATTGAGTTTATGCTAATGGTGGTAGAATATTTTAGAAAAGGATAGCAGTAATGAAGACACAACACAGAAAATGCCATCAATGTCCCTGAGCTGTAAATATGGAAGTTACTTTGGCAAATGTCTTATTGTGTATGGTTTCACCACAATAAAAGTAAATAAATAAATAAAAGAATATTTTATAGGCTCTCAAATTTGTTTTTAGTGTATGTAATCCTAAAATGATTTTATTTTTCCCTGTGGAACACAGGTTCTCAACGGAAAATAGGTTTGCCACTTCAGTTTAAAAATACTATTGAATGAAGTTACTTCTAAAACAACAATTAGAAATTTCTCATCAATGTCAATACCGGAGTCAGTTCTGCATTGGTACATTTATATGATACAGGAATGGATGATAATAGTCTTGAAATTAAAAATAAAACAGTCCTTATCTCAAAGGAAGATTTCATTTTCTGAATGTTTCCCATCAGGTACTATGGGCAGCGCAACTACAGGCAGAGCAACCACAGTCAAAAACGAACGTAATGTGGTGAGAACTTTCATTTTAAAATCATTTGAAAGGCTTACTTAGACAGTGGGTGTATATGTTTGGAATTCATTTGTTAACATACATTCTAATTTAGCTTTCTTAGTAGATTGCAAAGTGAGTGCCAGGGCAGTCAATGTTTCAGCTTCTTCTTCTTTTTTTTTTTTTCTTAGAGAAATCTGGAATCGAAGACCAACACAGAGCAACAAGGAGCTAAAGGAAGTCAGTTTGATGATGTAGGAGGGAGGCTCTTTCTGCTGAGGTCACTGCCAGATGAAGCTCTGAAGTATTAGGAGACTTTCCCACCATTTCATTTGGACAGATTTAAAGACTAGGTGCGGCCATTTGTAATCTCTCATACCTTTGTTTTAATGCTACTCTCCCTCTCTCCCCACACAATCTGGGTAGAAATGTTAGTCAGATGCTTGGCCTTAAGCTTGTCAGGAATTTAGTCATTTACGGATTGTAAATAGCTTTGGATTATTTTGATTGCTTCTGAATCTGAAATGACCAGATTTGAGCCACACTGATGCTGTTAACAAGTCCATTAAAAAGAGCTTCTCCTCATGTATGAAGCATTTAATTCTGGGCAGGTTCAGCAATGGCAAATGAGCGAAAATAGACACACAAAAAAGGAAAACGATATGCCGCAGAGCCCCTGGGTAGTGCAACAGTTTACACTCAGCTACAAATCTAATGATTGATGATTTGAACCCACCCAGCAGCACTGCAGAAAAAAGGCCTGGAAATCAGCCTCTGTAAAGATTACAGCCCAAGAAAATCCTATGGAGCATTTCTACTTTGTCACACATAAGGCTGCTATGAGTTAGAATCAATTCAATGGCAGTGGGTTTGGGGTTCTTTTACTCTCTCCCCAACCACATATAACTGCCTTGTTGATTCTGCCTCCCTGTTATTTATCCTTTGAATCTTATGCCTTCTGAGGACCACTGATTTGATTCAAGCCCTCTTTCCTGCCTGGATTACTATAACCTCTTAATTGGTCTCTCCCACTGCAGTCCCTCTAATCCATCTTCTACAGTGCCACTGAAGCTATCTTTCCTAAAAGAGAAATGAGATCATGTCATGTCACTGGTTTCCTATTAGCTTCAGTATAAAGTCCTGCCTATCTCTCAGTCTCGTCTTTAGCTATACCCTCCATTCCCCATACATCTTACATAGAGCTCTACAGAATTATTTATGGTTCCCCTGATCCACTATAAGTTCTATCATTTTCATGCCTTTGCACAAAGCTATTCTACTGCCTGAAAGACTCTTCTCTCCTTGTCTGCTTAATCATTGCCTATTTGTCCTCATGGCTAAGTTTGGTGCCCTTTTTCTATCTCAGTGGTTCTCAATCCTAGCTGTGTATTACATCCCCTTGGGAGTTTTGAAAATACCAATACCCTGGGACCCTGCCCAGATTATTTAAATCATGGTCTCTGTGCGAAAGGGCAACAGCATCTCTATTTTTTAAAAGCTCCCCCAGGAAATCCTAATGTGCATTCCAGTTTGAGAAGCACTGCTCTATGCTTTCTTACCTTCACCAGTCGCCTTCCAGTTGATTCTGACTCATGGTGACCCATGTGCATCACAACTGAACCTCACTGGGTTTTCAAGGTTGTGACTGTTCAGAAGCAGATCACCAGGCCTGTCTTCCAAGGCAACTCTGGATACATTCAAACCGCCAGCCTTTTGATTTTTGATCTTTATCACGGCACTTAACTATTATAATTATTATTTTACCCAACCATCTCCCTCACCAGATGATAAGCTCTTTGAGGCTTGTGACTATGTCTTACTCTTTTCATTTTGAGCATTCAACACAGTGCCTAGGGTTTAATAGAGGCTCAGTAAATAATACTGCATAAGGCCACAGAAATTTGATTGCAAAGTCTCAGGTCTCTTGATGCCCTATCTTATGACAGGTTATCACTGGATAATATATTTCCTGAGATCTTCAGATCTTTTCTTTTAATCTAACTAACTTGTCACTGATTTCCTAGCTCATATCAATATGGAGAATGTTGATTTGTCAAAAAACACTTCTTAACCTGTAGAAATCTCCACACAAAATCATTTAAAAAACAAAAAGACCAGGCTTACTGGTCTGATAGAGACTGGTGGAAGCCCTGAGACTATGGCCCTTAGTCACCCTTCTGGCCTGGAACTGAACTTATTCCCATGGGTTCCAGCCAAACAAGTAGAGGGTCAATGAAAAAGAGGAAGACCCTCAACGAGATGAATTGACACAGTGGCTGCAACAATGGGCTCAAATATAGCAACAATTGTGAGGATGGGAAATATTACTGTGGCACATAGGGAATGAACTTAAAAGCACCTAACAACAACTACATACCTGTGAACTTGGAGCCCTCGTGGTGCAATGGTTAAGTGGTCAGCTGCTATCTGAAATGTTTGTGGTTCAAACCCACCAGCTGCTCCACAAGAGAAAAAACGTGGTGATCTGCTCCCATAAAGACTACAGACTAGGAAAACCTAAGGGGTAGTTCTACTCTGTCCTATAGGGTCGCTATGAATTGGAATCAACTGGACAGAACATAACATTCCTGTGGATTTAATCTTGCCTGTAAATAAGGTTTTCTCTGGTGGTGTAGTACCTAAGGCATGTGACTACTAACCAGAAGGCTGGTGGTTCAAACCCACCAGCCACTCCTCTGAAGGAAGACTGGGCACTCTACTTCTGCAGGGAGACAAAGGAGGGGGTCGCTATCAGTTGAATCTGATTGGATGGCAGTGAGGTTTTTTTTTTTTTTTTTTAGTTTGTTATGTTAATGAGGCCCTTAACTTAATCAACTCTGAGTTATAAGGAGCAACACAGACACAGAGATAAGCAAGCACAAATAACCTACTGCCATGGAGTCAATTCTGCCTCATAGTGACCCCCATTGTGTTTCCAAGGCTTTATAAATCTTTATAGGAGTAGATTGCCTCACCTTCCTACTGCAGAGCAGCTGGTGGGTTTGAACCTCTGATCTTCTGGTTAGCAGCTGAATGCCTTACCCACTGTATCACCAGAAAATAACCAAAACAAAAAACAAAAAACCTCACTGCCATTGAGTCTATTCTGACTCAGAGCAATCCCCCATTGGATTTCTGAGGCTATAAATCTTTATGGAAATAGATTGCCCCATCTGCCTTCCATGGAGCAGCTGGTGGTTTTGAACCACTGACCTTCTGGTTAGCAGCCAAATACCTTATCTACTATGCCACTAGGGCTCCTTATACCACCAGATAGGAGGAAGAGACATGCTATGTGAGGATCTCCAAGGAACTGAGGACAGCTAGGGGCTGGAGCTACAGACTCTGAAAGAGCTCCCTTAGAGCTGTTGTTGTTATGTGCCATCGAGTTGGACCCAACTCATAGCGACCCCTCCTTAGGTTTCTGAGGCAGTATCACTACAGAAGTAGATTGCCCAACCTTCCTTCCAGGAGTGGCTGGTGGGTTTGAACTGCCAGTCTTCTGGTTAGCAGTCAAGTGCCTTAGGTACTATGCCACCAGAGAGAAAAAAATGTTCTCCTAGAGTTGGTGCCCTGAATTTGGACTTCAGCCTTCTGAACTGTTTCTGAACTACCCACTTGTATTTCTCGCAGCACTAGGTAACTAAGAGCTTCTTAAGACAGGACTGAAAAGGTTTATGAGAAATTACATAATTTTGGCTTTACAAAAGCAACGCAACCACTTCCATGGAGTTGGATCTGACTCATAGGGACCCCTCCTCGGGTTTCTGAGGCAGCATCACTATGGAAGTAGATTGCCCAACCTTCCTTCTGGGAATAGCTGGTGGGTTTGAACCACCAGCCTTCTGGTTAGCAGTCAAATGCCTTAGGCACTATCCAACGATATTTAAATAACCATAAATTTCCTTCACTTTACAGATGAGGTAACTAGAGTTTAGATATGTTAAAAGAGTGTCCAAAATCCCACAGTTAATTGAAGCCAGAGCTGGTTATAAGAGCCTACATCTTATTACCACTAGGTCATATGCCACCCTTAGCTTTTAGCTTTTCCTCTTGACTACAAAAGACAATAGCTCTATAGTCCTGAGAGGTTTAGTTTCATTCTCTACCAACTGAGTTAGCTGAGTATGCAATCCACATTGTTTCAAGAGAGTCACCTGTGTACTTTGTTAGTCCCTAGCTCTGGTGGCGTAGTGCCTCCCTTGAGCTGTTGTTGTTGTTATGTGCCTTCGAGTTGGACCCAACTCATAGCTACCCCTCCTTGGGGCTGGCCCCTGGACACCCACACTGCATTTGGGTAGTGTCCTCACTAACCAGAAGGCTGGCAGTTCAAAACCAACAGCCACTCCTCAGAAGGAAAGTTGGGCAATCTACTTCCGTAAAGGTACTGTCTCAGAAACCCAAGGAGGGATCACTATGAGTCGAAAAGACTTGAGGTAGTGTTTTTTTGTTTTGTTTTGTTAAATATGCTTTGGCAGTCCTGAGATATTTTTCAAATCAATTGGGTTAAAGAAAGCAATTAGGACAAAAGGTAGAAATACAGAATCTGTCTGTGCCAGTGACTACCCTAAAAAAGTCATTTAACCTCAGGGCCTTAGATTTCCAAACTTAAAATTGGATTATAAGAGCACCATTTGAAAGCATTTGAGCATCACTATGGAAGTAGATTGCCCAACCGTCCTTCCAGGAGTGGCTGGTGGGTTTGAACCGCCAGCCTTCTGGTTACCAGTCAAATACCTTAGGTACTATGGCACTAAAATAAAGTTATTTATTTATTTATTATCACTACAGTGGGTTTAGATGGGTATCTGACCTTTTGAATCTTTTCCTTAGTTTTTTGTGAACTAAGGCATAAATTAAGTAGTTTACTTGCAAGTAGGGATTTATAACTTCTTAATGAATCATTTGCCATCCCCAAAGTATTAAAATTTTAAGTTCATTATTAATTCAAGCGTATTACCTTTCCCTCAAATGCTCCAAACCTTTGAATTTCTTCAAAACACCAAACCAATACTGTAGCCGTCCATTATCCTACTTTGTCTTTAAGACTGCACATTGGACTTGGGCTTTCACCCATATGCCAGTACAATTACCAGTTGGGTTGGCAGCTATTCATAGGTGTCTGTATTTTTGGTAAATCCAGGATATGGATCACTTTGTGGGTACAAACAAATATATTTATTCATATTATCCATGGTTGATCAGCTCAAAGAATCATTCAAGCAATTCAAATTCCCAAGAGATTCACTGATAAACCAAACATTAATTTAAATTACACTAAGGGGCACTCCTCAGAAGGAAGTT